ACTCTAATGTCATTACTCACTCTATAAAATGAACCCTAAAATCACAACTCCTCCCCATTAGGCGAAACACCCTACCACTTGGCTTTTGGGACCGAGGCTGTCATCCCTGTCAAAATAGGCGTCCCAAGCCTACGAGTGACCCACTTCGACCCAGCTCGAAACGAGCAGTCGCTAAGAGAGAACCTCGATCTTTTGGACGAAGTCCGCGAGGAAGCTCGACTTCGAACATTAGCATACAAGCAGAAGCTGGCCAACTCATACAATAGGTGAGTCCGACCTCGAACCTTTAGAGTTGGTGACCTCGTCCTCAGAAAGGCAGGACTCACCGGCTTCGAAACTCGCTTCGGCAAGCTTGCGCCCAATTGGGAAGGCCCCTATGTAGTAGCCGAAATCCCACACCCCGACGCTTATGTACTGGTAGACGCCGAGGGCAAAAGAATACCTAGGGTTTGAAATGTAAATAATTTAAAGAAGTTTTATCCATAATAAAGCTTCATTTCATCCAAATTCTTGAAAGCTGAGCTCGAGCTCTCATGTCGACTTCTACCTCGTCTTTAAAGTTAACATTTCTGATCTCTTCCCATCCGAGGTCAAATAGTCTATTTCTTCTCTACTATATTATTTTTCAACTTCGTTACAATTTTTCAGTAAACAATATCGCAATAAACGCCATACATTTCCAAGATTTCAATTCATTCATTCCAATTGCAATAAAGATTGTTTTCTACATATGTTAAAAATTCTAAAAATTACAAAAGGTGAGCTGGCCGAGCTCAATCAATAATCTGGAGATGCTGGTCCACTTCTTCATTCCGTATGTTGTCCCCCACCTCCGTGCTCGGTGCCACCTCGGCCTCCTCCTCGTCCACAACAACGAACTCGAAGTCTAGTGTCAGTGGGAGGATAGTTTTTCCAGCCTCGTCCCGCTCCCAAGTCAGTTTCACCTTAGGACGGAACTCCGCCGTCTTGCTATCCCTGTTTTCCTCTACCCCCGCCTCCTCAGGACCAAAGGTGATGCTTGTCACGTCCACCTCTGGATTCTGCGCCTTCACCTTCTTACGACAGTCGGTGAAGGCCATTACCAGTGTTGGCAAGCGATAGAGGTCCACCACCTCAGCAAACGTGGCAGACTTCACGAAGTCCAAAACGTGCTCCTCCACAGAGTTGTGGACCGCCAACTCGGCTGCCTTTTTCACTTCGGCCAGCTCACTCTCCCTCCTTGCAAGTGCCTCCTCGCACTTCTTCCTCTTCTGCTCCTCCAACTCAGCAACCTTCCTCGAGTTGGCCAACTCCTCCCTGACCTTCTCCAGCTCCGAGGTCAGCTCACCGAAGTTCTTCTCCGCCTCTTCCTTCTGGCGGCTGAGCTCCTCATTCTTCTTCACCAAGGCAAGCCACTCTTGGAGACAATCGAAGAACTCGACCGCCATTTCATTCACTAAGTTCGCGGTCTGTACAGAAGTCGAAGTCAAACATCAAATCCAAAAAAAAAAAAAAAAAAAAAAAAAAAACTAACTTAAAACCAAACGAGTTTACCTCCAGGGCCTGCCGAACTACCCCAGCCCCCCCACTGACAGCCAGCTCATCCTTCGCCCTTTGCAGGTCCACCTCGGGGAAGTGGGCGCCAATGAAGCGCTTTGCAGCCGTCCTCCCCGAATCGTAGAAACTGGCCACCTACCTGAGGTAAGGAACGGAGCTCTTCCCCCTACCAGGCACCACCACCTTAGTCTCCCGAAGTGCCGGGTCAATCTGAACTGGGGCTGGCTGAGGTACGAACTCGACCGAGGCCTCAACCTGCAAAGGCTGCACCTCCTCCACCCTTGGCCTCTTCCGGGCGACGACCTCCTCAAGTACACCCCTCCTGGGCTCAGAGCTGGGCCCCACCTCAGCTGGAGGCCTTGAAGTCCCACCTCCAACCCGCTCCTTTTGAGCACCCGAGGTTGATGCCCTTGACCTCTTCTTCGGAAGTCGTATTGGTCTGCCCCCAGCTCTCAAACGATTCATCTCTTCTGCAAAACCAAACGAAGTCAAAAATTGCAATCAGACTCCTATCCTACAAAGCACTCTACTTCAATTCACACAGACTTCTGCTCAACGAGCTCCTCCCATAGATTCCAGACGACTCCACTACCTCTGGATTAGTGAGGTACATTATGTTCGCCAGTTCCCCCCCACCTCTTTCCAACATCTTCACCTCGTCCTTCTCCACCTCGCCCAGCCGGTACTGGTTCGGATTTCTTCTCTTCCCCTTCCACCTACTCAGCTCTTCCACCTCCCTATCCCCCCTCCCCCACTCTGTGTCATCCACAAAGATAAACTTCTCCTTCCACCCCTTAATGGAGGAAGGACCTGCAGTGAACAGGTTTCTACTCTTCCCTCCAACTACCCGAGGTGTAAAGTAAAACCACCCCTTCTCCTTCCCACTACCCCCCTTGATTATAAAAAAAATATTTAAATAGATCTACAGTCGGAATTCGCACCCCCCGAAGTTGGCAGTACACTAAAAATCCCACTACCAACCGAACTCCATTAAGGACGAGCTGCGTCAACCCCAGCCCGTACTCCTTTAGCAGCGCTACCAGCAACTCCGGGATTGGGAATCGGAGCCCAGCTGCTAGGTAGTTCGCGTACAAGGGTATCCAATGGTCTTTTGGAGCCGAACACGCTCGCTCCTCACCTCCTGCTGGCCTTACCAGCACATGGGGTGGAATACTATAGTTCTCCACTAAGTGCCCCAGCTCCCCCCTACACCTCCAGCACGATTCATACCTCATCACCTCCCCCACCACCTCGTCACTCTCATCATAACATCTTCCCCGATTGTCACCAACCTCTAAAATGTTGGTTGGGACAAGGCCACCCTCTTGATCCCCATTTACCCCACTCACTAGGATCCTACCCCTACTTCCCCCACTAACTGAAGTACTACCCCCACTTTTCCCACTCGAGCTCGAGCTCGAGCTCGAAGTAGAGATCGAGCTCGAAGTCACATCCCTCACCCCTTCTTCCCCTCCAACACTTAGTGTTCCTTCAGACGACATCTCTGCTATCAGTCTTCACTACAAGAAGTACGCCACCAACAGTGGTCAGAATCACCTATAATCTCTATTTGTTACTTCCCCCCTTTCCTATTAAATGCCTAACCCCGCTTATCTAGGTTACTTAAAACAAAATTACTATGGACTGAGGTAGAGCTCAGAGTTACCTGGTTTCCGGTGACGAAGTCTAACACTTGGTGCAAATGCTCACAACTACTGTGATCTTTGCAACTGTCAGCTCGGAGGACGAAGTGCTCTCGCGATTTCAGTAGGGCTTCGCTACAAATTCAGCTAGGTAAAATTGTGAATAACTTAGGGCTGGCTATTTATACCAAGCCCCTCCCCCATTTTCACGGTCACGATCGTACATGTTCAACGGCCACGATCGCGTCCCTTCGAATTCGGCAGATTATTCCAGACATCATTTATAGCAGCACGGCATGCGAGGACAGCTGTCACCCTCGATCAAATCATTTTATTACATTTAATTTTATTTTATTTTATCTCCCTCCACTTCAACCTTTTTCCAAAGGAACTGCACGATTAAATACTTTCTGAACAATCTTCACCCATGATTCTTTTTACTTCGGCTCCGGCCGTATCTCATGACCACGTGTCATGATCTTTTTTACTTCGGCTCCGGCCGTA